TCACAAATTTAATTATTTTAAACTGTTTTTCAATTAAATTTTATAAAATTTAATAATTGTTGAAAATTAAAAAAAAAATTAGCAAATAAAATTGCCCTAAATTTTTAATTCAAAATCACTTGAAATTTAATTATTTGCAAAAATTTCAATTATCTATAATGATTTTTATAATATTCTTCGGAAATTCAATTATTTGAAAGCATTTTTCAAATTAAAAACTTTTGAAATCCAATTAATTTCAAAAAATTTCAATTCAAAATCAACTAAAATTCAATTATTTTCAAAATTTTTAATTCAAAATCAAATAAAATTCAATTATTCTCAAAAATTCCAATTGAAAATTAATTATTATCAAAATTTTCAAACCAAAATCAACTGAAATTAAATTATTATCCAAAATTTCAATTTAAAAGTTTTTAAAATTTTTCATCTAAAATTGTTTGAAATTTAATAATTTCAATTATAACTCTCCTGAAATTCAATTATTTTTAACTATTTCTATAATATTCTTCAAAAATTCAATTATCTGAAACAAATTTTTTCAATTAAAAATGGTTTTCAAATTATTGTATTTTTGTCCGCAATTTCTAATAAATTTTTCAGTGAAATCATCAAAAAAAATTTAATTAAAAATTACTTGAAATTCAATTAATTTCAAAATTTTCAATTGTAAATCTTTGAAAATTCAATTACTTTTAAAAAATATTATCTAAAATTAGTTGATAAATTATTTTTAGTTCTGTAAAATTTAATTATTGTCTGAAAATTAATACAAACTTTTAAAATTCAATTATTTCTAAAAATTTCAACTTTAACTTTTCCAAAATTATTATTACTTAAAAAAAAATTTTATTTAAAAATCTGCAAAACTTTTTTTTTTAAATAAAAAAAAATCGACTTTTTCGACTTTTTTTTGCAATATAAATCGACTAAAAGGACTTTTTTTCTGCTTTTAAGTCGATCCGAGCAGGCCTAGAAAATATTAAATACAAAAAATTATTATTTAGTTTTAATTTATTTTGAATAATATTCTACTAAACAATATATATTATTATATTAATTACGTTTTTTTTTATTGAAAAAAACATTTTTTTTTTAAAAAAAGAAGCTAAATAATTATTTAAAATTTATTTTAATCGATAATTGAAAATGACAGAAATCGTGATGAGTGTATAAAATCATTGCCAAGAATGACAAAAATAGTGATATGGTGATCATTTTACATCATTTTTGATTGCCAAAGCTATGGCGAACGATGACATTAATATCATGAGTTGTACCAAATAGTAAATTTGTCACGGATATGAGAACCACATTTATGTTTACATGTCGTTGTGTGTTGGCGACATATGTGCGCGCAAAATAGACATCCCGCGCGGATAATATAACTTCAGAAAGTGATTTCGGTAAACGAGCACAAAGTAAATCGCAATTTTTGATTTGATATATTATTAACATAAATAAAAATAAAAAAAAAAATTCAGTACCTGTTATGAAAGAAATTTGCAATTTTTATTTTCGAGTTTATTTCTTGGAAATATTATTTAAATTCGAAAAGTGATCAATATTTTCATTTTTTTTAAGGCCTGAAATATTTTTAAAAAAATGAACAAAATTGTTTTTTCTTATAAAAATAATTAAAAATTTAAGTTTTTTTTTTCTAATATTTAAATATTTTTCGAATGTTTAAAACTAAAATTTATTTCTGTTTTTAAAATATATTTATTCAAATATTTTTAATTATTAGCTAATAATTATTTATTAAATTGATTAAAAGAATTATTTATAACTATTAAATTTCATTATCATTAACAATAATTAATTTTTACTTTCTTTAATTATATATTTTTGTAAAGTTGAAATATTTTTTTAAAAAAATACTATTTTTATATTATATATTTAAAATTTTTTTTTTATTTATATATATACTTTTTAATATTTATTTATATATTTAATATTGATTTTTATGTTTGTTTAAAGTTACATTGGTTTTCGAAATAAAATTATAATTGAAATATACTCACCGATATTAGTCGCATAATTTTCCACATATGTATATAAATAAAATTGAATTACGATTCACAGAGCAATATAATTATATACATATTTCTTATTGCAAGAATTTCCTTTTTCCATGATTTTATAAACTTTTTTTTGCCACAACAAATCATAATTTCTTTGCGTAAAAACTGCAGCAACTTTTTCTCAGGACAAAATCTGAAATTTAAAAGTTCTAAATTAATATATCGATAAAAAAAAAATGTAAATTATTTGAATTTTTATAACACACTAATAAACTTTTTACTTTATAATATATTTTAATTTTCCTTTTCAAATATTTAAATTCAATTTTGCTACTGTATACAAATATTTTCCAAATTTGAAAAAAAAATTAATTTCACGATTTCATTCATAGAAAAATGTTTATAAGAAAAAAAAAAAATGATTTCTTTATATAATTTATATCAAACTTGCTCATCAGTTAAATACCATGTGATTATCACGATTTGAAATCTTTTTATATATATTTGTGTGTATTTATTTACGTTGTTTTCAATAGTAAATTTTATTTATATTCAAGTAGATTCCGTATACGTATATATATATATACATCTTCACCGCGGCGAAATGCAGTGCGAGTCCGCGACACGGGAAACCATAATAAACTTGGTAATGGGCAGTTACCAAGCTCAACGTCAGGTGCCGACTATTAATTTTGCCCGTTGATGCCTCCTTCGAGGAATTAATTGTCCGTCTGGCCGAATGTCTGGAATTTCGATTGGAAATTCGATTTTGATCGACAAATCTATACAACGCGATCTACTATATCGATAAATATAGTGTCATTTACGCTATAATTAATTTGCCTAATTTGTTATTTTGATTCTCAATTAAAATTTATATCAACGAATTCAAACGAAGTGAAAGAAATTATAATTTCTAAAAATATATATTTTAATTTAAAAAATAAGACGATCGCTCAATAAAATCGGTAAAAATAATTCTCAAATCATATTTCATTCAATAAATAATTGACAATTTTTTTTTTTTTTTTTTAATATTTAATTGAAATTATTTAATTTTTAATTATTCAAATTAAATTCAATAATTTTATTTTTAATTATTTAATTATTCAATCTAATTTTAAATTAAAGTTATTGAAATATTTTGTTTAATTTTTGTATTGCAAAATGCGATTTTCATTTTAATTGAATTAAAAAAAGTTTTAAATATCACAATATTTTCTGAATAAAATATAATAATCATTTTATAATTTAGATAAATAATTTTCATTATTCTTTTTCTTATAGTTTTCTTTATATACCTATTGTTATGTTATAAATTAAAATTATTTAATTCAATTTTAAATTACAATTATTGTAATATTTTGTTTAAATTTTGTATTTTTTTTTTTATTATTTATCCATAAACATTAATTTATCAAATATTGTAGGATAAATATTTTCATGATTTAGTCTTTTAATTATTAATTTTCTGGCACTGAAATTAATTTCTGTAATTAAATTAAAAAGTTTTTTTTAAATATATTATTTTTTGAATAAAAAAAATTGTTTAATTAAATTAATTAAAAAAATTCTATATAAAAATTTAATTTTTGAGAAAAATTATTTAATTTTTTTTTTTTTTCAACTTTTCATGTTGATTCAACCAGTATTTACACTGATGAGTTGAAAAACGTCGACATAAGTGGATAATTAGCATTTTGCTAGATAACTTATATAAACACTATAACATAATTGTCGCTTTTTTGCCTGTTTATGATTCTTATATGTTCATAATGCGGCACAAGACGACAATTATCCACGTTTTGCATTTAATTAAGTTCCAGGGCATTAATTGATTAAAAGACTACATCGCGTGATAAAGTTTATTCAGTGCACGTCTTGTATCGTCGCAATTGATTGTTAATTTCCGAGGATCACGAGATGTATATATATATATATATATAGTTAAAGGTTGGTGCGCGCGAATAAAACAGGCTTTTGTCGAGGAGTCTCGATTCTCAAAAGAAAATTACTTTTAATTTAAAAATATAATTTAAATTCAATCGAAAAATTAATTTATTACATATATATTTAATTCATGTTAGTAAATTAAAAAATTGATTTGAAAAAAAAAATAATAAGATTTTATTAACTTTTCATTCCAAATTGAATTTTTCTATTTTTAATTTAAAAAACTGTTGCCCTTTTTCAATTTTTTTTTTCAAAAACTAATTTGTTGATTTTATTAATTTTTTTCCGATTAAATTTAATAATTTTTTTTTCAATTTTAATTTAAAAAAATTTTTTATTTTAAATTTAAATTCTCTTTTTTTTTTTGAGAAAAGATTTTGCTTGATAAAGATCAAAAAACTATAGAATCTGCTGATGCCAATATGCATTTTTTTTTTTTTTGTTTATCGATAAAATAGGCCGAGTGCAAAAGAGAGAAAATGACGTGATGAATGTTGTGCAGGCCACTTGAAAGCACGTACGAATTAAATTAATTTCAGCGGGTGCGAGAGGAGTGATGCGGTGGCAAAAGTATGAATGGAAAGATAAATGCGGGTATAACTATCGAGGTGCAATGGCCACCGCGACTCTCAATGAAAATTATTGAAATGTCAAACTGGTTTATTTCTTTAATCTTCATATCGTTCCTGGCTTGCAATAAGATTCACCTACTTTCAATTTGCATTTATATTTAAATAAAAAAAAAAAAAATACAATAATATTTCGGTAAAATGAAGAAGCGCGAAAAAGGGGACAAAAGAGACGAAAAAAAAAGCAGTCAACTGGGTTGACTTTTTTTTTTTTTTTTATTACTATCCTTCGAGTATATTTGCAAACTCTTCATTTTTGTCAAACATTTTTCGTTTGGAAAAATAAATTTTTTTTAAAAATTTAATTCCATTTTTGAAATTTGGAAATTTTTCTTAATAAATTTGCTTTTTTTTTCTTTATTTTGATGATTTTATTTTTATTTTATTTTTTCAGAAAGAGAACCAAGCGTTTCTGGAGTTGTTCGAGGACCACCGCCTCCAGAATCGGGGGATATTGAAGATGAACAGGAAACGGATGATACTGGAAGTACAAGTGGCAAAGCACCATCACCATCGAATCCACTTCTTCAGGAAAGATCAAATTGTGATGAACTCAGGCACGTGATATGTCATCTAGAGACCAAGGAACTTTGGGATAAATTCAATGAACTCGGCACTGAAATGATCATCACAAAAACTGGAAGGTTCGTATTAAATTGTGAAATTTTTTCAAAAATTCAATTATTTTAAACTATTTTTTAATTAAAAATTTTTATGGAATTTAACAATTGTTTATAATAAAAAAAAAATATCACAATAAAATTGAATTATTTTTTAAAAATTTCAATTCAAAATAAACATTATTACCCGAAATTTTAATTCAAAATCAATTAAAAATCCAATAATTATCAAAAAATTTCAATTAAAAATTTAATTATTTACCAAGTTTTCAATTTAAAATAAAATAAAATTCAATTATTTTCTAAAATTTCTATTCAAAATTAATTATCCAAATTTTCAATTAAAAATGAACTTAAATTAAATTATTATCCAAAATTTCAATTAAAATTCAATTATTTCCCAAAATTTTCAATTCAAAATGAACTGAAATTCAATTATTTTCCAAATTTAAAATCAAATAAAATTTTATTATTCTCAAAAATTTGAATTCAAAATTAATTGAATTTTCAATAATTTGAATTTAAAAGCATCTAAAATTTAATTATTTCTAAAATTTTCCATCGAAATTTTTTTTTTTTTTTTGAAATTTAATAATATTTCAATTATAACTCTTTCGAAATTCAATTATTTTTTTCATGATTTTTATAATATTCTTCGAAAATACAATTATCTGAAGTCATTTTTCAAATTAAAAAAATTTTTAAATTCAATTTTTGACTTTAATTTTTAATCAAATTCTTCAGCAGTAGAAATCATCAAAAATTTAAATTAAAAATCACTTGAATTCAATTATTTTCAAAAATTTTCAATTTAAAACCAACTAAAATTTAATTATTTCTAAAAATGTCAACTGTAACTACTCTAAAATTCACTTAATTTTAATAATTTCTAATATCCCGTGTGGAAAAAGCCACGATCTTGCCCTCAAGAGTTCGGGGCCCCCGGCGGGGGCCCATGAGGGCTGATCCATATGGCGAATCCATGAGGGGCACCGTAGGGGCCCCGCATGGATCGCCCTCATGATCGATTAGCAAAATTTTCTAAGTCCAAAAATCAAATATTTTTTTATCACCAAAAAATTAATGTTTATAATGATTCAGAACCACGAAAAACGCGTTTTTAATAAAAATATATTTACACTTTTTTGAAAATAACACTCACACTTATGGCAAAATAGATGAGGGCCACCGTAGGGGCCCGCATGGATCGCCCTCATGATCGATTAGCAAAATTTTCTAAGTCCAAAAGTCAAATATTTTTTTATCACCAAAAAATTAATGTTTATAATGATTCACAACAATGAAAAACGCGTTTTTAATTAAAATATATTTTCACTTTTTTTGAAAATAACACTCACACTTATGGCGAATCCATGAGGGGCACCGTAGGGGCCCCGCATGGATCGCCCTCATGATCGATTAGCAAAATTTTCTAAGTCCAAAAGTCAAATATTTTTTCATCAACAAAAAATGAATGTTTCCAATGATTCAAAACAACGAAAAACGCGTTTTTAATAAAAATATATTTACACTTTTTTGAAAATTCACCTGAGATGATTGATGATAATAATCATAAAGCATATAATTAATTATATTTTATAAATTGCATTTGATTGGAAAATATAATTTAATATCTTAACTTTAACTAAATGATGTTAAGCACTTTTCTTTGTTAGGTATTTTTGAAGTTTAAATAGCATCAAGAAGTTAGCATTCGTTTTGAAGTAGCGTGCGTAGCGTAGTTGGTAAAGCGTTAGGTTCATAGTCCGTAGGTCGTAGGTTCGATTCCCCCCATGCGTTAGATTTATTTATTTCTCAGGTTTGCGTTTAATCATTAATTCTATGTATGAATTAATTGAAAAATGAAAATATCCGTTAATAGTATGCATAAATTAAATATTTTTTAATTTTTTAATTAATTAATTTATTATTACTTTTAATTATATCCGACAGTTAATTAATTAGAACGTTAATTAATAAATTCAATTTGAGTAAGAATTTAATTTAAAATTGAATAATTATTAAATAAATATGTTATTTATTCATAACTTAAGCTTATTTATTATTAATTAACTTTTATTATTAATATTATTGATTAAAAAACATTATGGCAAACTTGAGGGCAAGATGAGGGCAAACGTGAGGGCCCATAAGGGCGCCCGTAGGGGCACCCTCATGGATCGCCCATGCGGGCGCCCTCATCGATGAGCATGTCGTTTCCATGAGGGGCCCCTATGGATCATCCATATGCGGCCCTCATGGCATGAGGGCGATCCATAAGGGCCCCCGCTGGGGGCCCACATCACTTTTCCACACGGGATGTAACGCTTCAATTATTTTTAATAATTTTATAATTTTTCTTTAAAAATTCAATTATTTAAAAAAATTTTTTAATGAAAACTCTAAAATTGAATTATTGTCAGAAATTTAAAAAAAAGAAAAGAAAAACAGCAATTTAAATTTGCAGAAAATTTATTTCAAATTAAAAATTTTCTGCAATTCAATTATAAAAAAAAAAAAATTAATTTAAAATATTATAAATCTTAATTATTGTAATGAAATTTCTGTGACTATTAAAACTAAAATGCTAAAAAATTTTAATTCGAATAAATTGCTTTAATCAGATTTCAAAAAATAAAAAAATGGAACTAAAAATTTTTTTTTGAGAAATTTGCCCTACTTTATTAATTCCATTTTGAAATAGAAATAAATTATCTTAATAATATTTTTATAGAATTATTTTTTTTTAAGAATTAAAATGAATTTAATATCTAATAACATTATAGTTATTTGAAGAAAAGTATAAAAATATTTATTTCATTCAAATACTCCATTAATTGACTATTATGAAATAATTATTTATTTTGTATCAAATAATTATTATTTGAAATGATATTTTTGTTTCAAATACAGAAATTATTGATTCAAATACAAAAATTGTTTCAAATAAAAATTATTTTATTCAAGTAAATATTTATTTTGATAATAGTCAAGTAATCGAGTATTAAAATCGAATAAAAATTTTTTTCCAGTGTATTAACTAATTAAATTAAAAAAATCGACTTTATTTTTAAATGTAAATATTTCGACTTTTTTTTGCGCTTTAAAATCAATCCGAGGCGTGATATCATAAAGTTTATTCTTTTTTTTTAAATTTATTTTTTCTTCAAGAGAATCGTGCGGAAAAATTTGTTTAACTAAATCTCGTAGTTTTTATTATTCTCTCAAAAATTGCTAATGAAGGAATTTATTCTAATGGAAATAAGAAGAATATATTTTCTAAATATTTTTTTTGAAAATATGATTTTTCTTTTGTGCAACGAAATATCCGTCACAATATAAATTTCCTAAAGTGTTCCATTGTTAAAAGGGTTATATAGTTTAATCCCAAAGGGATATGTAATGAACTGGTACTACATCAATGTCCCACTAGAAGTGTCAACGTCAAAGCAATATAGCAAGCGACTCTTTCTCATTATCCGCGTGCCCTATCGCCCTTTTTGCCCTCGGCCCTTCTGATCTGAACACATAAATTCAATCACTATATATATATATATATATATATATATATATATATATATATATATATATAACACCCACGAGGAACTTGAGAGCTAACAATCGAATTAAACAGAGACATTTGCGAGATATAAAGGGTTAGCAAAATATTGTGGGCGTTTAAATGACTCTAACAATTTGAAGCTACATCTTCATTTCTTATATTTTTTTTCTATTTGAGAATATATATTTCCAAATTAAATTCAGAATTTTCGGGGTTAAATTTCTGATAAATCTATCGCACTTCATTATATGTGATATTATAATTTGGTAAATTAATAGACTATGAGAAGATTTTAATTGTCAGGGAAGAATATGAAGGAGAGGATAGAAGATGAGGATAAGAGAAGGTTTTAAGGACGAAAGAGGCGGCGTTGCGGACGACGCGCACCTAATTGCCCGCTACAACGCCAATCTTCTTCGTTCGTGTATATATATATATATATTCGTCGTGTGCCGGGAGCGGTTGCACCTTCATCAGAGGAGTATATATCGTCCCAAGGGATTCCCTGGTCGCTTACTCGCGCGTTAGTAATTAGATCTGCGTCCCGACGCTCTTGTCGCTCCCTTCAACCGTCAAGTTACCAACATATAAAATCTTCCCTCCTCTCTCTCTCTTTTACCTCTTCATCAATTCAAAAAGTAAAATTATCACAGTTGCCACGCTACTTGAAAATCTGGAAATTCAAAAAATGTCAAGGAATTTACAATATTTACATTATAAATATATATATGGAAAAATCGTGTAAAAGTTATTAAAAATTTTTTCTTTAACTCTTGAAAAATAAGCAATTTTCGATTTATTATTGTCTCGGTTAAAAATTTTGTGATTGGCTATCGATACTTTGCTAAATTATTGTTTAATGAATATTAATTGTAAATTTAAAAGCAATAAATTCCTGAAATATTAATTAATTAAAAAAAAAATAAATTGTTGAAAGTACCTTTAACACAAAATAAATAATTTAAATAATTAAAATAGTTTACATAAATTATGAAATAAATTTAATATAATTAAATAAATTATTAAATAATTTTAAATTAATAAATTTTAATTTTCAAAAAGGAATTTTTGTAAATTTAAAAGCAACAAATTTCTGAAATATTAACTAAATTTATAAAAAAAATTTGTTGAAAGTACTTTAACCACAAAATAAATAATTCAATATTAAATAATTTAAATAATTAAAAATTTACATGAATTATTTAAATAAATTTAATAATTAAATAAATTATCATATAAATGATATAAATTATTAAATTAAAAAATTTTATTTTTCAAACCGGAGTTTTTGGAGAATTTTTCAAAAAAAAAAAAAAAAATATTTGATTCAATTAATCGGTTACTTCGACTATTATTAAAAAAAATATTTATTTGTATTGAATAATTTATTATTTGAATTAATTAAATTGTATTTGTTTCAAATTCAAAAATTATTCGTTCAAATAAAAATTATTTGGTTCAAGTAAATATTTTTTTTTGATAATAGTCAAGTAACCGATTATTTGAATCAAATGATTTTTTTTATTAGAGTACAAAAAGCAGTCTCCTATTGAAATTAAAAAAAAAATTTATTAACTCAAATTTAAAGAACAGATTATATTATTTTAGAATTTATTTATTTTTTGTTAAATAAATATTAAGTAAATAAAAAATATTAAGTTAATTATTACTTCAATTAAACATTTATAAAAAATAAATATTCATAAAAATACATTCTAAATGTTTAATTCGTCTTTAAGGACAAAGAAAAATCAGGAAATTTTATTGTAGCGTGGCAATTCTAATAAAATTTTTTTTATTAATTAAATTAACGGGATCTAGTTTCAGATAAATCAAATATATAAAGAAAATAATTCGGTTTATGGAATTTTTTCCAAAAAAAAAAGAAAATTAACTTCGAATTGACTAAATCATTGATAAATCCTTATTTGTACAAAAAAAGTCGCAAAATGATAAGAAAAATTAGAGAACAAAATTAACGATTTGAATTTGGAGGATTGCTCTGATAATTTTTTGTGATGAAGAAGGAAGATCTTCGTCGTCGTCGAATGAGCAATGTCCAATCGCGACCCACACGTAAAGAGACACGACACAAGTTGCCAATCCGTGGGCACAAGTAACTCTGCCTCATGAATACACCGCCCTTAACATCCTTACAAGCTAACTGCGATCACTCCCGTGGGCTTATGATATTCTCTCTCTTTCTCTTTCTCTCTCTTTTTCTTTCTTTCTCTCTAGCTAGACACATGAATGTTTTGCCTCGGAGGTAAAGCATTAATACCGTGTCGGCCCTCCCGCTGCTCAACCACTAAAACGCGGGGACACCCGCCGATCTTATCTTCGTCTTCTCCTCGGTCCTTGTCGACTCGGTATGCATTCATCCCGCCTGGTTTGCATGAATGTGAGTAATGCATTTATTTATCAAGTCGCTCTTTGTTAATGAATTGAAGTTCGCCTCCCCTCCTTTCGAAAGAGGTGTCATGTCCACTGAGAGGACAAATTCCCCCTTCAAAACACTGTTTATATATATTTCAAAAGACACGATATAATTTCTACTTTTTATGTTTCATTCTCTCTCTTTTTTTTAATCATGAAAATAATTAGTTTACTAATTAAAAATTTTAATGAAAAATTAATTTAAATTAGAAAAATCTAATTCAAGACACGAAATAATTTCTACTTTTTATGCTTTCTTTTTTTTTAAATGAAGAAAATAATTTTTCTTTTCCGAATTTGCGAATTAGTTAAAAAAAAAAAATTCATTAATTAAAATTTCGATGATTTAGAAAAATTTAAATGAAAAATTCGGACAAATAAAAATTAGACAATAGAAAAATTAGAAAAATTAATTAAAATTAGAAAATTATAGAAAAATATATATTTCAAGATAATTTCATTTTTTTTATGAAGAAAATAATTTTTTCAAAATTTGTGGATTAGTTTAAAAAAAAAATTCCTCAATTAGAATTTCAATGATTTAGAGAAAAATTTACCAATTAAAAATTTAAATGAAAAATTTAAACAAATAGAAATTCGATGATAGAAAAATCATTTTTAAAAATTATAAGAAATAATGTTTCGCTTAAAATTTGCATATTCGCATAGTTGAATAAAAAATCTATTTTTAATTAAATAGAAAATTCTCTCGATCATATTCAATTAAATATATATTAAATATTCAAATATTTTTTAAAAATTCGGCTAAATAAACATTTAAAAAAAAGTTTTTTAAACCCTTGTAAATTTAAATTCAAAACTTCTTTTAAATGAAAGAAATTGATTTCTTATTTGTGTCAACGTTTATAAATAATAATTAATCGAGTGTAAATATAATAAAATTTCTTCAATATAGTTTCACATTAAAAATTAAAATTCACACTCAATTTAACAATAAATACTTTTGAATTAATATTAATCAAATTAAGTCGTTCGAATGATAAAATATGTAAGTATCAACAATGAAGATTAACAAAAAGATATTTTAAAAATTTAATTTATAATTAATCACATTTTCGTGTATTTAAATATATTTGTCATTCGTTTATTATTTCTATTATAATGACAGAAAATGAAAGAATAAATAAATAATAAATATATACGTTCCAATTTCTCTTTTAAAACTTTCAACTTTGTGAAAACAAATCGATAGAGTTCATGATTGTTGAAATGGAACGATTACTCTAGAAAGGAATATAATCTTTTTATTATATATATTTAATATTTATGCTTATAATTTTTCTTTTCTTATTGTCTGAACGATATAGAGACTTCAGGATAAGTTCATCATAAACTTTTTCCATCGCGAATATATATAGATAAATCTTTTAAGGGGGGGGGAAATATGTATATATATAAAACGTGCAAATTAAACGTTATTATCCCAGAACTCTCATGACCATTTACGGAGATTCTTACGAGATACGTATACCAAAGACGATATAGATGATTAATTGTTAAATGACGGACATTTTCTCTATAACGCGATATACTGTCCAATTAATCCTCACCAAGTCTAAACCAAAAGCGATAATAAAAAATTATCTCGCGCTACCTGTCGTCCTTGCAAAGGTTAATTGTTTCGCACCAACGCGATTCAATTAAATTTATTAAAAAAAACCAAATTAAATCTTCTTTTCGTAAAAAAAAAAGAAAATATTTCGTTTACGAGTTTTCAAAAAATTTAATTTATTATATCAATTCTCTGGATTTTCTATATACAAGACTCACGAATAATTCCTAAAATGTATTTAAACTGAATTGAATTTCAATTCATCGAATTTCAATTTTGTTGAATTTTTCCATAAAGTAAAATTTATATTGAAACAAATTTTCAAATTTTTATTTAAAATTTTTATTTAGTAGAATATTTATTGAATATAGAAATTATTTTCAATTGAAATTATATTTTTATATTCAAATTTTTACTAATCGGAATTTTTATATTTACGAATTTTCATACGTTTAAATTAATATAAATCCGAACTTTTATTAAATAGAATTTTTATATTTATACGAATTTTCATACGTTTAAATTAATATAAATCCGAATTTTTACTAATTATAATTTTTATAAATCCAAAATTTTTACTAATTATAATTTTTCTAAATCCAAATTTTTACGCATCCGAAATTTTAAACATTTAAATTTATATAAACCCGAATTTTTATGCATATAAATTTTTACTAATCAAAATTTTTATATTTACGAATTTTTATACGTTTAAATTAATATAAATCGAAACTTTTACTAATTATAATTTTTCTAAATCCAAATTTTTACGCATCCGAATTTTTAAACATTTAAATTTATATAAACCCGAATTTTTATGCATCAAAATTTTTACATATCAAAATTTTTATATTTACGAATTTTTATACGCGTCTAAATTTATATAAATACAAATTTTTACAAATACGAAATTTTATATATCTAAATTTATATAAACCCAAATTTTTACTAATCAGAATTTTTATATTAACGAATTTTTATACATTCAAATTTTTATAAATACAGATTTCTATATATCCCAATTTTCATTGAAGAGAATTTTTATCAAATCGAATTTTCATGTAAAAGAATTTTTCGCGAATGAAATAAAATTTATAATATACTTAAAGAATTAATTAAATAAAAATTCTCTTAAATAAAAAATATCAAAAATTAGAAATTCGTTTAAATAAAAAATCCCTCAATTTAAAATGTATTTAATTAAAAGTATTAATAAATAAAAATTTACTTTAAATATGTTAATAAATAAAAATTTACTTTAAATATGTTATTAAATTAAAATTTAGATATTTTCTTCTTAAGAATTATTTTGTTATGAAAAAAATGGTAATTTTAAATTTTGTATGAGTATATATTTTTAAAAATATTCTCTCAATTTTTTTTCTCTTTTTTTTTGTTACAGGCGAATGTTTCCGACGTGTCGTGTTTCGTTCAATGGTCTGAGACCCGAGGGTCGATATGCGGTTCTTATGGATATCGTGCCAGTGGATAACAAAAGATATAGGTATGCTTATCACAGAAGTTCATGGTTGGTTGCTGGAAAAGCTGATCCACCAGCACCGGCACGTTTATATGTTCATCCCGATTCTCCATTCACTGGCGAACAACTAAGAAAACAAGTTGTCTCTTTTGAAAAAGTTAAACTCACCAACAACGATATGGATCGCCATGGACATGTGAGTTTCATTTTTCTCTACATATACTTTTTATTCCAAAAAATTGAAAATTCAAATTTAATTCCCGTTTTTTAATTTTTTATTTCCTTTTTGTTTAATCTTTTTTTTTCCTTTTTTTGTTTTTGTTATTTAAATTACTTTCAATTTTCAGTATATTTTTAATTTCATTTTCACTTTTTAATTACATTTTTACTTTTTGAAAATTCAATTTTTCAATCTATTAATTTTATGTAATTTTCTTCACTATTCAAATATGAATGAAATAAGAGAATTTATTTTATTAAAATCTGTATTAGTTAAAATGAGAAATTGAAATTCGATAATTAGTTTCGTAATTAATTGTTACCGAGTGTCGATTTTAGAAATTTAATAATATTTTTAATAATTTATTACCAGGAAAGTTTATTAAATTTCCCCTATATTTTATAATTATAATTTTTCTTCAGATTTTGAAAATTTTTCTATTTTCGTTTCTTTTGTCGATTTTTATTCTCTTATTTCGAAAACAATTTCAAAAGTAAAAATATAATTTTCCTTTAAATTAATAATTCTAAAAAATACAAAAATTAAAATTTTTAAATTGTTCAAAAGTATTAAAAAAAGAACAAGAAGGAAATAAAAATGAGAATTTTTTTTTTTGCTTCTTTTGATTTAAAATTGTTTCCAATTTTTTTTTGCTCTTCGTTTCTAAAATTTTCGATTTTTAATATTTACAGTTGGTTTTGAATTCAATGCACAAATATCAGCCGCGAATTCACCTGGTAAAGAGGCCGGACACAGGAAATGGTGATCCGATAGAAGATCTTGAACGTGAGCCACACAAGACCTTCGTATTCCCGGAGGCCATATTCACCGCTGTCACCGCCTATCAGAATCAACTCGTAAGTTTTTATTTTATTTTTTTTTATTTTTATATCTTCTGCAGCTACTGTAAGTGTCCTGCCCAATCTCTCTTTCGTTTCAAGGATATAGTTCTCCAATCTTTTTCTCTCTTTCTCCTACTTCCTTTTTATCCAATTCTTCTTCGTTCATCATTTTTTTTTTTCATTTTTTCTTCCTTTTCTCAAAAACCATTTGCCAACAAATCGTACATGACAGTGTCCGAAGGTCCCTATAGAGACAGAGCTGAGCCCGCATAATTGATTCGTCACGCGTCCCTATATTTTTAAAGGATGCCGCTCGCGTCAAGTGCGGAAAATTTTTCCTTTCTGTGACACTTTCGATTTTGTCAAATTGTTCCCGATTTGCCGAATTTTCATTTTCCAAGAAAAGAAATTCAATCTCAATTTATTTTCAAAAAATTCCAATTTTTTTTTAATGAAAAAAGTAAAAAATAAAATTGAAAATAGATTCTTGGATAAATTATACATATCCGTTAAAAAAAAGTCTCAAAATAAAAAAAGAAAAATTATATATTAATAAAATGCTTGGTCTGTCCTTCTGTCCTAACTTGAAGTTGGCCTTTTCTGATTTCACGTGTTTTTTTGAATAGTACTCTTATGACGTATCAAATTTTGACAATTCATTTTCTCATTTTTACCAAAGTTGTATAATTGTGTTTCCAAATTTCGGAATAAGTTTCTTTAAAATTCCAAATTCGAAAATTCAATTCACGAAGCTGAAGTACACAACGTTTACCAACGAAATTTTTTTTAAAGTTGTATATTCATTCAAAAATTCTATACAAATACAACAAATTTATGATGAGAAAAAAGATGCGCCAGGAAATTTCGTACAAGATAGTAATTTGAAAAAAATTTATTTTTAAAAATTAATTTTTAAGGTACCAGGGGCCAACGAATACCTATTAAATATTAATTATAAAAACACAGGCCTCGAATCAACTTAAAGACACAAAAAAGTCGTTTCAGTCGATTTATATTCCAAAAAAAAGTGGATATGTTTTTTATTTTAACAAAAATATTTTACAGATTTTTAAATAAAATTTTTTTTTTAATAATAATCCTTTTCGAAGGGTTAAAGTTGAAATTTTTAGAAATAATTAAATTTCAAAAGATATTGTTAATTTTCAAACAATTATTAAATTTTACAGAACTAAAAATAATTTATCAAAAAATTTTGGAAAACATTTTTTAAATTTAATTGAATTTTCAAAGATTTAAAATTGAGATTTTTTAAATTAATTGAAACTTTAAGTGTTTTGTAATTAAAATTTTAGATAATTTCACTAAAAATTTATTAGAAAATCCGGACAAAATACAATAATTTGAAAATCATTTTTAATTGAAAAAATGGTTTCAAATAGTTGAATTTTCAAAGAATATTATTAAAATAGTTAAAAATAATTGAATTTCCTTAGAGTTATAATTGAAATTATTAAATTCAAAAAAAAAAAATTTTCCATGGAAAATTTTAGAAATAATTAAATTTTAGATGCTTTTAAATTCAAATTATTGAAAATTCAATTAATTTTGAATTCACATTTTTGAGAATAATGAAATTTAATTTTTATTTTAAATTTGGAAAATAATTGAATTTCAGTTCATTTTGAATTGAAAATTTTGGGAAATAATTGAATTTTACTTGAAATTTTGGATAATAATTTAATTTAAGTTCATTTTTGATTAAAAATTTGGATAATTAATTTTGAATAGAAATTTTAGAAAATAATTGAATTTTATTTCATTTTAAATTGAAAACTTGGTAAATAATTAAAATTTAAATTGAAAATTTTTGATAATTATTGGATTTTTAATTGATTTTGAATTAAAATTTCGGGTAATAATGTTTATTTTGAATTAAAATTTCGGGTAATAATGTTTATTTTGAATTGAAATTTTTAAAAAATAATTCAATTTTATTGTGATATTTTTTTTTTAAGTTATAAACAATTGTTAAATTTCATAAAAATTTTAATTGAATAATAATTTTGATATTGAATTTGTGATGTATTTCATTAAAATTATTAAAAATAATTAATTTAGTGAAGAATCATTTTAGTTCAAAATTTGTTAAATAATTGAATTGAAGAAGATCTGAAGAAGATCTACATTTTATACTAAAAAAAGGTATTTTATTTACATTTTTTTTCAAATGTAAAATAAAAAATGTCGCATTTTATTAAAAGAAGTCGATAAAAGTCGTATTTTTGAAAAAAGTCGGAAAAAGTCGTATAATCCGAGGCCTGTAAACATATAATTTTCATTATTATCATTTAATATGTAATAATATTCTAATAAATAAAATTATTATTGATAATATTAATCTTTAATTTCTTTATAACAAACAATGAAATATTCAATTTGACGCGCTTGCGCGCGTTTAATTTTGCTAGTTTCAAATAAAATGCATACATTATGCAAGGAAAAATAAAATTAACTCTCGTAAATAATTTTATTTTGACATTGACCGGAAACATTTTCAACTCACGTGTTTAAAGATGCGCAGCATCCGTTTCCGTAAAGCGCGATGAGATCAAAGTTTCGTTTATTATCGGCTGGGGTTTTTTTTTCTCTTTTTCGATATACATCATCACTCGTGCGTTTTTCCTAAAGTTGAAGGTTCATATATATATATATATAATAAAAAAATATAAAGGTCCTCATGTTCGCTCTTAAACACGCACGACACGCGAAAACCGCGCCGAATGATCGAGAGACGCTTAAAAGAGAGACGACGCATTATCATATTTCACGATAGTCGTTTCAGAGTCTGTGTGTGGTCCATAGAAGATGCGACGTCGCATTCCCAAAGCGTCGCGGCGCCCGCGAAGTATTATAAAACCCCCATAGAGGCTCACACACATCTCACTGAGAAAGAGAGAGAGAGAGATGAGAATGTCAGGAATCTACCTCGCGACGTATCTCTGATCTCACGAGGCGACAATAGACGAATGAATGCAACTGGCAGTCTGTTCTCTTTGCCTCATCACAGAATTTTTTTTTTAATCCTTTTGCTGACATTTAAGAGCAACAATCTAGCTCCGCTCGAAATTTATCTCGCGCGTAAGTTTTTCGAATTTTATTCTATATAATGGTGTCGAGAATCTCATTAGCTGGCGCGCGGGAATTTAGAGAAAGAGAAACTTTGTTAATTTTTAATTTACCAAAAATTTAGGGAATTTTTGGAAAAAATTTTGAAATTCAGAAAAATAGTAAAAGTACAAATTTTAATTGAATACGGTTCTAAAATTAAATTAATTACAACTAATTAATTGATGCTAACTTCTATTAATAAATTCCGTTATTTAAAAAGATCCTATTTAAAAAAAAAATAAATAAAATGAATTTTTAAGTTTTCTAATTTTTAGAGTAGAAAATATTTTTCTAACCTTAATTAAAAAACAGACTAGTCTCTCAATTTTGTTGTAAATTAATAATAAAATTTTATCAACGGAAAAAAAATTTATCTGATTTAAATAATTGATTACTTGACTATTATCAAATAAATATTTACTTGAACCAAATAATTTTTATTCGAAACAATAATTTTTGAACCAATAATTTTTGTATTTAAAACAAATACCATCTCAAATAATTATTTGATAATAGTCAAATAATCCGAGTATTTGAATCAAATAAAATTCTTTTTCAGTACCCAAAAAAAAATTATAAATTGAATATTAGGAAATTAAAATTATTTTTTTAAATTCAAAAATATTTTTTTTTAATTTTATCGATTTATGTTAAAATTATTTTAAAAATTCACTTCTTTTTAAATTTATTTTGTAAATTCAATTATTTTTTATTGCTCGATTAAAAAAAGAAATAAAAACAAAAACTCAGTACAGTGATTTTGATATCGCGCAAAATTGGTTTTAGTTTGAAAAAATGGTTCAGAAATGGTTTTTTTATAAATTTTTTTTTAGGAAATTTAAAAAAAAGTAAAGAATGAAGTTAGAATTTAGAGAAATAGATAAAATAATAAAATATGAAAATCATTGAATTAAAAAAAGAAAATTACAAAAATAATTAATTTGTACTGAAAGTAAATACAATAGATAATTAATTTTATAGATTTTTTTCAAACAATAAAAATTCTAACACAAATTTAATTTTTTAAATAATTTCAAAATAGAATTGAGAGAATGTTCCAATTTCAATTAATTGAAAAAATACTTAATTAAATTGTAGATATATTCAAAATATATATTAGAAATAAAAATTTAATAATTAGAAAATTTGTACTTAACAATTAAAAAATTTATTTAATTCAAATAAATCAATTACTTGACTATTGTCAAATAAATATTTATTCGTATCAAATAATTATTGAGTCAATTAAATAGTATGTATTTGATCTAAGTACAGAAATTATTGGTTCAAATACAGTTTATTTAATTTAATTATTTGGTTTCAAAAAATTATTTAATTCAAGTAAAATATTTTTTTTGATAATAGTCAATCAATAATTTCAATAAATTTTTTGTTTTTTCTGTTTAATAATTAAAATTTGGGGATTTTTTTTTTAATTCAGAGGGAAAAATGTAATTCTTTAGAGATTTTCAGTTTGTGAATCCAAAAAAATGAAGAGAGCGGGAAAAATAAAATTGACGTCTAAATGGGAAATAAAGGGGAAAAAAGAAACCATTGAAAAAGCGAACGGGTGGTCCAAAGTCCCACCCTCGTCGGTACGACGACAACAACGTGGCTGTTGATGATGATGATGAGGTGCGAAGAGATGCCCCGGCAATTATCTCGGACCAGTTTTCTTCTTTCTGTATATATACGCGTCCTCTCTCGGATCTTTTGCGCCTTCTCGCGCATCATTATCGTTCTTGCAAGTCTCTTTCTCTTTTCCTCTTTCATATTTCTCTTTCCTTTTCTCAGTCATCTTTCTTTCTATATATTTGTATATATATATACTCGAATTATATATGTATATATCCCTCTCTTTACTTAAAGTTTGACGAACGAGGATC